TATATTCATGCTAATAATTATTGGTCAGTAGTGACAAATAATTGCTTGTTTATTTGATTGATTGATCGATTGATTGACTGTAGTATTATATAGATGAATCACTTAGAGGCACAAACTTTCTCAAGGATCCCATCGATGAAATAGTAATATATAATATATACCTAGTAATTATGTCAGCTCGGACTTACCTATAGTCCCTCCTGCACTTTCGTGCTGTGTCAGACGGATACTATCAGAATACTATAGCTTCCTGCGGTCGTGTTTGCGTGTGGCAGATCGACACAGAAAAGGTACACTACGCGTGCGTACGCTACACGTTATTCTAGGCGTTTACTCTCAACTCGCTTGCGGCGGGCAGGCAGGCAGGCGGTAGGGTTCAGTGATGCAGACGCACCATGTGCGTGACTCATACGCTGAACACGTGCTCGCGTCGGGCCCTCCCGGAAGTTTACTGTGTGACGTCATCGGTTTGCATTGGTTCGTTTTGAGCGCGAGCGTGTGAGAGAGGGCGGCGTGTATAAATCTCCTCCAAATATGGCACGCTACTCTGATACACGTGCGCGACGTAGACACGAGTTTTTGATACGATCTTAACTCGGTAGAAACTTTGCATTAACTGCGAACGCGTTGCGCATACCGCTCTTCAGTGAAGGGACGGGGGGTTGTGGAGAATGTGGGACTCGTTTGTTACCGCAAGCGCGGTTTTGTTGGACATTAGAACATAACCTCATAACGAACGTTCTAAACGCAAAGTACTGCAACGCAGAAGATTGAAGGCCTGTCTCGCTGATTACTTCGCATAAATTACTTTAAATATTCTTTCGTTTTCTTTCCTCTATTGCCGATCGCCAATTCAATATCACTGAATATACGCACTGCGAAACTTTTCCGTAAACATTCTTATTCATAAAATTATACATTCCAAACATTTTCGCAGACTGTTCTTATCAAATTTCTTTGTATTTTTGTTGTTTTGTTTCCTTTCGTAACTGGACTCGTAACACAAACACGTATATATATTTTTTATATCTATTAAAGAAACCCTAAGCGAATCTAGAATTGGTAGACATTTATTTCAAGGACGCCTAAATCTATACACAAACCAACGCTGTTGAGAATTTACAATATATTATATAGATATGATAAAATAAATAGAATATATATGAACAGGTGGCGTAATTGAATAGGCATTAGGATACACAGTGTAGTTCCATGGGTCGCTTTCCAGCAAAAATAAATGTCTTAATTATATATTACACGTACAAACACCCAATCTATGGCATTTCAACATGATATTTCAATCATTAATAGTTCACGTGAATGAGGTATGAAGCATTCTAAAATTATCAGTTCGTTGGTAAATACTGATTGACAAGTTTACGACCGATAACTGTTATACATGATAAACTAAAATGCATCAGACATCTTAGTTCTCTAACATCTCACTGGAGTGACAAAAACTACTCACAACACATAATAGCCCAAACAAGAACCCAGAGAAATATTTTAACTGCACAAACTGACTATCACAACATTGTCAGGCAGCTATGGGTCTGTGAGCTGCCAGAGAGGGAAGGGAAAACAAGTGCACTGGTACAGAAATTCACTGCACATGCTAAATTCCCAACTGCGCAGTAGAATAGCATTACATATATCGCACAACAGAATAATCCCTGTAACAAAACACACGGAGTCATATAACAATATATAGTGATGAAGAATACAAACACGAATAATACATATATGCATGCCATTGCATGGTTTGTGACATGTTGTTTAAGATGGTGCTAAATATCATTCACTTCTATCGTCGCTTAATTGTCACACTCAGTTCCCGAAAGGACCAATTGGCAGTCATTACCTGTGAAACTACTTATGCAAGTGATTTTAGACGATCTCTGTAGGTGGCGTGACAGTCGCGAAAATTGCAAGCAGTTCTTCTTCTTCCGCTGACACGCGTCGTTCTTCTGCGCATCCCCCTGGCTTGCCCGTGACGACTTCATCTCAAACGTTTGCGTAGCGGGCGTCGCTTTACCATCGTTTTCGTCGAGAGTGGTGATAAAAAAGTGGGAAGGGTCTTTTTTCTCGTTGACGTTGCTTTCGGCGACGTCGTCCGATTTTTCTTGTTCGGAAAGAAATTCATTGCTGGTGATGTCACCCGGTAGTGACACGAACTGCAGAATGTGAGGTAAACTCCTTCGGAGCGGACTAATGTCGCGCGGTCCGTGGCATCGGCCGAACGACATTCGATGCACGACTGGTGCGGGTTGGACAAGGAATCTCTCCTCTGGTCCTCGCTTCCACGTCCCAGCACCCTCGTCACCTCCCCGGATACTTCCTTTGGAGACGCTCGCCGCTTGACATGAAAACATTTTACGACCGACAGACGGAGCCCTCAGTGTGGACCTCTTCGTCGTTCTCTCCTCCCGCCCACGCGGCACGCTGCGCACTTGTCGTTGGTGCGGCGGAGGCGGGGGCGAGGGAGAGCGACGCGTTCTTGGTGTCCGCGCCGGGGTCGATATGATCATGTTGACAACCCTCTGAAGAAAAACGAAGATGGAATGAACGGAAGAAATTCCTAGGTGGTTTAAAGTTCCCGGATAATCAACATATAACAATAACATAGGTAACATCAATAGCAAGCAACTGCGTGGAGTTGGTAACTGCTAAATTCACAGACCATATTGATATTAGCTAACGAAGCATACCTAACACGTGTACTGTTGCAAATAATATATACACGTTGTGCATGTACTGACGTAAAAATAACAAAAAACACACGTTAAACATGTACTGATGTAACAAATAACAATACATACACGTCATACGTATACTAATGCAAAAATAACAAAACATACACGTTACACATGTATCGATGCAAAAACAAACACATGCGTCATACACGCATAACGCACACGTCATACGTATACTAATGCAAAAATAACAAAACATACACGTTATATATATATATACTGATGCAAAAATAACAGCACATACACGTTATACATTAACTCTTGCAAAAAAGTCATACACGTTGTACATGTACTGATGTAAACACAAACACAAAACGCACACGTCATAGTACGACGTGTACATATATATGCAAAACTCGTCCCACCATAACACAAGCAAATTAGACATGAGCCATACCCCGCTACTCACCGTCCAATTCCCCACGGCGTAGCGTCGCTGCATTGCTCGCGTCTTCGCCACCGTCTTGATGACCATGAGACCTCGCGCGTCGACGGAGGCGCCCCCTGGATGCTGCGGTCCCGCGGGGAACACGATGGAGTAGTCGTGCATGTGGCGCAGAGACGTCGTCTTGTCGCAGGACCTCTCCAGCAGCAGGAGCACCGCGGCCCACTAGATAGAATGAAACTCGAGCTCGAAAAGACACTAAAGACATGCACAAAAAACCCACTCCTGAAGACACACGTGACGATCGAACTCGTCGTCACTGCTGTGTTTTTCCTTGCGCTTTTTTAAGGCAACTATCTACACGTTAGTTACAGACAACACATGAAGAATGTTGTTTTTTGGTGACTATCATTGGCTGCCTTTTTGTTTTTCTGCAATGGTCTTGCCATATCCTCTTGGTAAATACGTAAAAAATAAATAACAGCTACAGTGCTAAAGCATCACAAGCATGTACAGCTCAATCAGCTTCCTCATTCGTCCCCCTCCCCTCGTCCTCCCTCTTACCTGCCTCCTCCATTCTTTCTCTGAAACGCTGTTAATGCTCTGGTAGGTGTTACCCATCATTGCTATGAGCATGTTGACCAGGAGAATCGATACGAGGATCATGTAGGAAACAAAGACAAACTTGGTAAGCACTGGCTTGTGCGTGCAGGAAAACTCCTCGTACTGAAAATCACAACGAATCGACGTTACGGTGCTGCTTCTGTGCCCCACCTGCAAGCGTTATCATGCATGAACCTATCTACATACGCACTCACGTACTCACGCACGCACGCACGCACGCACGCACGCACGCACGCACGCACGCACGCATGCGTGCACACATATATTTTCATTATTTTACTCACTGACTAACGACTGAAATATGCATAAAAAACGCTCAACGTTAATTCTCTGCGTTTATTGTTTAATCGTTAGATGTGATACAACCATCTGGATATTACCACGCGCGCGTAGTAATTGTTGAATGACAATGAATGATTGGTATCATAACAACAAGCGACGCCAGTTCTGTGACTGACCTTAAAAGAATTCAGCATCATTTGGAATAGCATCGCGCCCGTTTTACTCAGAGTGTCCCACTCCGTCACATTCATAGTGGCGTCATTGGCACAGATTATATTTGCACTCTGGAATAGCAGGTAGAAAGCTGAAAGAAAACATTTATTCTCAATGTTACAATCACACACTGAAATGCCGTTGAACTCCAACTTTCATCATACGCTCGTCACGGGGTTAAAAGGGGTCCTTCAGTATTTCTATTTGAATTTCATGCAATAAAAATTTAATAATAATTATTAATAGTAATAAAACGCCATGTTGAAAACTTACCCGGTGAAAACGCCATGTTGAGGATCAGATAGATGATAGAGAATCGAAACAAGTCGCCTCGCAGCATCAGATAAATCATCGTCACGAACGGCCCTGTAAGCCGCATGCTCCTGTGAGGTAGCACGAGAAGAAAGAGTACAAGGATCAGCACAGTTAACAAAGGTAGACACATACAACAGATAACACGTGAAATCTCTTTAAATAGTATTGCGCTTTCACGAAATGACTATTTCGATATTTATTATAGTCGTATGGGGATTTCAGTTAGAATTTATATATTTTACAATCTCGCATTCTACATCTTTGCATCTTACACTAAAAGAGAACACAAATTCCTTTGTTGTGGAATAAACATATATATATAGCCATAGAGGAAAAACTGGAGAAAGTAAAGAAATTTCATAGGAGTAGGTTAGTGTACGTAGGAAGGTAAGTATGGAATTTAAAACTAAGATGCACATCCCTGGGTGCACATCACGCTCCAACTCTTATTGTCACTGTCAATCATATCACCTTGCAAAGAAGAGCAGGTAAAGCCAGCATCCAGGAATGGCTACGGCAGTGAGAGCATCCTCTATGTATGGCGACAGCATGAAGCGTGCGACCACGGCCAGGAGCAGCACGATGGAGGACAAGGTAAAACACGCCTTCGACGGTGCGTAGTGCTGCCAAACGTCATACAAACAAGTTTGAAACAACCGCTCATTCTTTCTGACTAACACATGATTATAACTTCTGCCAAGGTTTTGTCACGATGTCTCAATATGCGTCCCTGCTGCCCCCTGTGGCCATTTACGATCATCACTAGTTTTGTACACCATTCCCGTGGGCCTTGATCATGACGCATGTCGAGATGACAAAGAAGCAAACAAGGTCGCATACATCAAGACTGCATTGATGTATCGATGAGATATAGTTCTACCGTAATTTACTCGCTCCCACCCACATGTACGATCGATCTCGTGCCAGATTTGTAGACTAATAGCCAGTTAATCGTAACATCTAAACTTTGAGAAAAAAACGAGACTTTGGGAAAAAATGGTAAAAACACGAGCGTAAGCCCACAGCGAGCCGGAACCATTCGCCGCACCACGCCGGCATCGTTAGCACATCGTCTCACCAGATTCTTCAGGAATCTGCTGAAGCCCTGGACCTTTATTTCCCAGATGTTCTGCAGGAAGAGGAAAGCGGTGGCACTGAGGACTGCACCGGCCTCCGCGACGTAGCGCACCTGTGCGTCGTAGAATTCACGCGTTATAATCAGCAGTGTCTACTCATTAGTTTAACTAATATGTTACCTACAAAACGTAATTCATAAGTGTATTGTAATAAAGTAAATTGAATTGAACCGGATTGAATATAATCTCTGTGTAGCAAGGTATGGTCGCGATTTTCAGTAGTCGTGTGCTTCACACTGATCGCTTGCTATTAATGATAGATTGACACCATCCAGGTATCCACCATACCACCCAATCTTGGAATAAGTTAGTTGGATATCATGATAACATTGTTCTTCGATTTTATAATAAAGACTCTCCTACAATGTTTGGTTGTCGTATGCTTTACTCGGATCGCTTGTTATTAACGATAGATTGATACCGACCCAGGTAAATCTTCTAATGAGTTCATTGAATGCCATGATAATGTAATTAAGGGTAATTCTATTGATAAATCCATGTAGTTATAACCTCTTAGCCACATATATCTATTGCCATCTGGTGACTAGCACAAGCAAACTCATTCAATTTGACGAAGACACCTTGATCAGTCGTCGAAACTATTCTTGCTGACGTGGTAATCACACGGAATAAAATAAAATAAAATAAAATATATAATATAAAATAAAATTTCATGAATTAAATAAAATGAAATAAAATAAATAATATAAAATAATAAAATAAAAATTAATGTCGTGCTTACCCAGGTGGTCGCATATGTTACGGCGGCCGCGTCGACGCCGCGGTGAGGTCTCAGGTATACTGCGATACTGAGCAGCGATAGATGCAGGATGTGTAGACACAACTTCTTTGTGTATGTCGCCTAAGTGGAATTAAGGTGGTAATTAATTAATTAATTAGTTAATTAATTTGGACCAATTGATTTCATTATTATCAGATGCTTATGCTCCAGTTAGTTTTTTTTTTTACAATTATTACACATATCTGTTTGCAATATACCTGGACACGAGTGTGGACGAGCACACGCGCACACACACGCACGCACGCACGCATGTACGCACACACATACACACACACGCAGCTAAATTTAGATTCCTGCAATATAACTAAACTGACGAATTTCATATACGTGAGCTTGTTTATATGGCGAAGACCTACTCTGCCAAATGTAACCCATTTTTCTTCGAGCAACTTCTGGATTATTCCCCCAGTCAGCATTTCCAGGTGTTCTCTAGTTTCTCCCTTCACGATAATCATGATGGCCGAATTCCAATCTGGAACGAAAGGTATAATATCTTATCACCCCATGTATACTAAGTAGGCGTGAGAACACAACATTTTGAAAATCCCTGAATTCTGGAAATTCGCGGATCCGCTGACGATTCTCATGCTTGGTGAAAATCAGTTAAACAGCCGCTACGAATTTCCGGCTTTCGAAAGTCGTGAACGCTCAAGAGTTTATAGAGAATGTTAATGTGAGAGGCAAGTACTTACTAGTCCCTCCGTCCGGGCTGATGCTGTCGATTGCATGAAGAGGGTAGACGGAGCAGCTAATATTGTTATATCGCCACAGCTCCTGCGAAACAGAATGATAACAAACCTAAGAAACCAGCACCGATTTTATATGCCTCCTTTCTAATTCAAATTCTTTGCTGGGAAAAGGAAAAGTGTTTACTTATTACTCCTTTAGAAACAGAACTAACACTTTTCTGCAAATCAAGTCGTTGATTCCGATCAGTAAGGAATATATAAACTCCATAATTCAACTCGTACAATACGTCAGGATTAAAGATCAATATTCGCGTTTTCTCGCATCGAAATTCCATTACATTTCCCACACTCTACTTCCGTATTGTAATTTTCATGGCGATTAATTAAGAGTTTGCGAAATAATGCCCGCACGAGACAGACACGACACTTACTTAACACTTAACTTTTAACGCTTACTTCACAGTTTATAGTAATAAAATTAATGCCCGCGGGGCACAGACACGACATTTACTTTACAGTTTATAGTAATAATGCCCGTGGGTCACAGACACGACACTTACTTCCCAGGTTACGTAAATAAAGCCCACACTTACTTAACGCTTTACTTTTAACACTTACTTCACAGTTTAGCTCCAGCATGGCGTTGAACAGACTCTCACGGCCCATGTGTGCGGCCAGCGTCAGCGGCGTGAGGCCCGCGTCGTTCTCTATGTTAGAATCGGCCGCACGCTTGCAGTGCCTCAGCGCGTGCGAATACATCTTCTGTTTTAAGGTCGAAACGCACGCTTAGAAGAGAACGGCCGCCTCTCAGCCATGACAAGGAGCCGTGACTCAGAACGCTTAATCTACATGAAACATGCCCCGTTAGGTCAGAAGCGTAAAACCACTCACGTTTCCGCTACCAATGGTGTATATGACTGACCGTGAGCCAATCCAGAGAGACATGATACAAGATTGCATGGCACAGCTTTGCTGTTGATCCTAAGCGCTGGGCGCAGATGGCCACCATCACCACCACCTTCACCCCCAAAGCCCCCAAAAAAAAAAAACAAAGCCCACGCACGCACCACCACCACCACGCGATCACCCACCATGCCCACTTCAGCCACCACCAGCACCACCACCACCACCACGCACCACCTCACCACCACCACACACCATCACCACTCATCACACCTATCAACGCACTAACCAACCACCACCACCACTATCACCATCCACCATCACACAACAACCACCACACATCACCACCATCATTCACCATCACCACTACCACCCACCACCACACACCACCAGGCACTATCCCACCACCAACGGGACCAACGACGACGCAACACCACCACCACCACACAGCACCACAGCACACACACCACACCAGCACACCACCAGCAGCACACCAGCACCATCCACCACTCACCACTCACCACCACAGCACCACACGCACGCACCACCACCACACCACAGCAGGCAGCAGCAGCAGCAGGGCATCAGAGGTACCTGCCAGGTTTGATGATGACGAGCATGTGGAGCACAGTGTTTCCCAGCGAGTCCTGCAGGTCAGGGTTCGCTCCTGCCTCCAACAGCAAGTCGTAGCACTGCGTGTCCCCGCGGCAGGCCGCAAACACCCGCCACCGAAACGGATACTCGCCGAAATATGCGCAGCCTGTGAGAGAGGGCGAAGCCAGTTTTACACACGTCAGTGAGTCCTGCGTGATCACGCAGCAGCTCAAATACTGCGTATTACTCTAATCGACGCTTCAGATAAAATCGCCAGTGACGTTCACAACGCTCGCTGCACGCACGTCACATCACAAATGACAGTTTCTTCGGGAGTCCAAAATGTAATTCATAAAATCGTAAGTAAGTATTTGATGATTGTTTACTTTAGAGTCTAGAGAGAAGGCAAGAACGCCACCACCTATACGCAGACACTACATATATACATATACTAATATAGTATATAAATATATAATATATATATAAATAACTATACACCAATTACTACAAGCATTATCCCAGACTGAGCTGCCTATATACATAACATATACTAATATATATATAAACTCTATAATATATATATAACTATGAGACAACACATATACTACCACCACCACTATACCGTGATACTTCTATATAAATAATTAAAAAAACCTCATATTATAATTAAATCTCCATATAGTTTCAGAAGCCTCGTCGCCCGTGCATGTCAAGCTCGAAGATGGATCTTGTACCTTTGACTCGGCTCGCGGTGGTCAGCTTCGGCAGCTTGCAGTCGTCGGGCGCGGAAGAAGCGGCCGCTGCTGCGCTGGTCGACCACTCGCGCGGAGTTACGAGCACTTTCGTTAGCGCGTAATGTCCGTTCAACACGGTCGAGGTGAAGGCGCGCTCTGACGCTGTCGACATACACACACAGACAGTGGTTCATCACTACATCGCACGCCGGGGTCGCGCGACAGCCCGTAACATAAAGTGAGCTACACCCCCCAGGAAGGTGAAGGGTGGGGCGGGGTAGGGTGGCAGGGTGGGGTAATGGTGGATGGGTAGGGTGGGTGGGGGGAGAGGAATCGGCAGCTCTGCACCTCCGAGAGGACGTGTCCATCAATCGCAACAATGATGTAAGGGGGGAGGCGCACGCCCTGGGGTAGGGTGGGGTACGGCGTGGGTGTGAGGTAGGGTGGGGTAGGGTGGTGTGTGTGTGGGGGAGGGGAATGCAGCTCCACATTCCGAGATTAAGAGTCCGTGACGTAAACACGACGGTTTAACGGTGAGGTTCGATGTAGACGATGTAATTAAGGGGGGGGGAGGTAAACGTTAGAGACGTAGGTGTTAGAGCCGCGTCTGCGAAGCAGAAAAGAGGCGGTGGCCAAGAATAGAGAGAGGGTGGAGGAGGGAGGGCGGAGGTGCAGCAGGTTACACTCTTCTCAGGCTGTTATTTCCTGTCTCTCTCTCTGCTGCCACATCTCATGATTAATTAGTATTCACAGGTAAGCACAGTAGCTGCAAAAGTAGGTAGCCAAGCTGCTATTGGCAGTCGCAGCTAGGCTGCAAATGTCGCATGGGCGAGGGCAATCGCACTCATGGGTCTATACAAATAATTTAATCAGCAGGGTCACTGCATTCTAATGAGTGTTCCGCACTGCTCGTCGTCGGTAGCAATCAGGAACTTTAACCCTACCATATAATGAATGTGGCAGATCGTGAGCACGTACACGGTGCCAAAGTTCAAAGTCTGAAGTCACGTCGACATCTGCTGCAAAGTCGGCAACAAATAAGTATCACTGATCCTCGGCAGCAGATCAACATATCCCTCACGCTCAACTACCCTCGTTCTCAAATCCACGCTAACTTCTAGAATCAGGTCTGTGCCGCTGATATATTGCAGCGTGAGAAAGTAAAGACTGGCTCGCCTGACCGAATACTCCCGCATTTTATCTCTGCCCTGACAGCATTCAGTCTAACATTAACTATAATGTCGAGCGCCAACGAGCGAACGAACGGTTCTATAGACGATTAATTTCGATGTGCGCATTTATAGGAACTCTGCGATCTCTCCAAGTTAGATTCAGCATGAGCGCGACATGCACATACGCGTCATGAAGCTCAGCGATGTTGCATGTATTCGTATTATAAGGAATCTGCGGCATCTCCTCGCGAGAGATCAGTAATTATAAGCAGACTAATCCGTATAGCTCAGGATGTCTCGATGATATCTCTTTTCTAAGGATCTGCAGGATTTCTCGCGAAGATATCAGTAGCGATGACTACTGTATACGCGAGAAGATGTTAATGTTTTATTTAGGGAGTCGCGGGTTCTCTCGTGAAGAGGATCAGTAGGCCGATGACGTACCCAATTTCCCTCCCCACCACACACCCCTCACCCCCGTAATAGCTTCAGATTGTTCATGTTTTATTTAGGAATCTGCGGGATCTCTCTGAATAGATCTCAGTAGCACGACTGACGCTCATACAGCCAGGATGTCTTCATCCCTGTAATTCTATTTACTGGATCCTGACGCGACTCTCTCGATCAGCCACAGAGATTGCAGTAGGGTGCGACGACTAACCGTATAGCTGAGCGATGTTCATGTATTTATGTAGGATCGTGCAGCTCATTCCGCAACGAGATCAGTAAGGGCAACCGACTAACGTTATAGCTCAGGATGTTCATGTAATTTATTAAGGATCTGCGGGAATCTCTCGCACGAAATCAGTAAGATCAACGACTAACGTATGCTCAGGATGCAGTACTTTATTAGGATCTGCGGGATCTTCTCGATCGCAACGAGATCAGTAGGCGACGACTAACGTATAGCTTCAGGATGTTCATGTATTTATTCTAGGATCTGCGGGATCCTCTCTGATCATAAAACGAGATCAGGTAAGGCACGACTAACGCGTAAGCCAGGATGTCATGGTATTTATTAGGATCTGCGATCTCTCGGATCCAGCACGAATACAGTTAAGGCGACGACTAGCGGCGGTGATAGCTTCAGGATGTTGCATTAGATACGTGACGACTTCAGTACTGGGGGACCTGAGAGGCGAAGCCGCGCCATGCGCTATCTCGCAGTGAATGTCATAGTGCTGCCTCTAGAAGCGAAGTCCGCAGCAGCGTTTCGCCGTACAGGACCTAGCGGTGTTCGCAACTTCCAAACACGCCTGCAGCGCAAAATCTCAGGCGATTAAGTGTACGATCGCAAGTTTTATTCATAGCGACACTATACTACATCGATAGTAACCGGACGCGGTTATTGTCGTCCTCTGAAACGTTTGCGTTAGCTTAATGAAAATTGCGGAATCAACTACTTAATTCCCGTTACTACTAACTTATCTAGTTACATAAGGTCACAGCTATATTTGATAATGGCATTATCTCATTTTACCGAAGTCAATCATTATTTTACCAGCGTCCTGACGACAGCTGCCTGATTGACACCGTTCACCCCGCCCGCCGTAGTTTACACGGTGTCCACACACGCGCTTTAATTGTGCAATGTTCCCCAATGGGTTCGGCGCTGCTAATAGCAGCACGCGGAGTGCAATGTCAAATGTTAACACTAGGAGACTTAACGTTCCGTGATTCTACAACACATTGTACTAATCTGTTGCCCTGCACTGTACAGCAGCCCAGGGAGGGGCGCTCAGCTCGCATTCAGGTCAATTTTCCGCCAGACAACTACGACCGTATCATAACAACTTGTTTTCTTGGGATGCACGCTTTGTACGCCTTCAGGCAACACTACTGACGCCGGATTTACATGGTGAAGGGCCCCTCAGCTACTTGACAGCTGTAGAGTCCAATCTCATTAGGTATCAATTTTTTTAAACTACAGAGAAATAAGCTCTTTGGAAATCTTTAGACAGAATGACTGAGTGTAAGAACTGAGATTGGCATTGGGTTTGGCGCGCCGATTAGGTCAGCATCCGTGGGACCAACCGGCAAAACCACTGACGCAAAGATGCATATACCCAAATCCATGGCAGAGGCCTCGGTGGTAAGGATTGCCTTGTAGAACTTTAAAAGAGCAGGCAGAGCGCTGAGCTATCTGGGTCCTGCTGCTACAGTTATGAACTTAGTCGTTGGGCGAGCTGCACATTCTGTTGAGCCGCGCCAGATATGGCAGGAAGCGCATGCTTGCGTAGCACATCCTTGTTAGGGCCCCACGCTGCACTATCTCACCAGCATGCGATTTGTTTATTTCATTAATGATATCTTGCGCTTTCCTTCGAATCTGTGTCCATTAGATTCACAGGCTATCTATTTTATCTATCTATACAACACGATTTCAACAGGTATGAGCGCCTCTGGATCCTCCAAGTTTTTAATTTAGAGGGGCGCTGAGGCGCACGTCCCTGTGTCTACGCAGGCCTCGACTCGTTGAGAGCAGGAGCCGAACTCCTGACCTGCGGACTTCCTGCTGGAAATCACTGTGGCTCCACATGTCGTCTCAATCTTACAACTCCCTGGTCAAACTCCCTCTCTCATCTGAGCTGTGCCATCCTCCTCGCCCTGCCTCCACTTCACTGCTGCGCCTCTGCTTTTGGCGCTGGTGTGTTGGTGGTGTGTGCTCTAGGCTGTTTGTCGGTCGGCGGGTCGCTGTATAGCTGCTGGTGGTGCGCGGATGGTGCGTCGTGCTGCGGAGTATTGTCGCTGTGCGTAGCACTGTGTGCCTTCCTTGCCTCCGCGTACCGGGTCCGGTCACGGATCCCCGTCTGTGCACACATGTCGCACGACCTAATTGTACGGCCGTTTCCCGGCTCGCATACACACCGTATCACGGAGTTTTCCTGTCACGCGTCTCAATTTTACTACCGCTCTCTCTCCTATCTAGCTTTCTCTTCTCTCTTATTATATTCAAAAAAATTTAAAACCAGCGATGCATGCCTTTTACTGCCCCTTAATAATGCTTCTTCCTATCCCCTGAGTGTACAGTCATGAAATCATCACTATATACTACGTGTCTCTAAATATTATTATGGTAACAGTTATGTTTCAGCACAACGGTAAATGGATACGCACGGCCATAGCTACATGAATATATGTTTAAGATCAAGATGAGAAAGTAAACTCTTATATATTATAATATGGTACTAGTTTATTATTTATTCGTTTAACAAAGTTACATGAGAATAAAATCTAATTTAAACTAGGCCTATAGTTGCCACGAGATGCGTCGTGCAAGTGTAATCGAATAATCAAAAGATGGCCGTTCCCAATCGTATAGTAGGTACATGGCTAAAATCCAGTAAGTCTATTCAGGCAGTTGCGCAGCTGTGATGACAGGTGCATTGGCAGGTTGGCAGGCAAAAGTTATGATAGAAGCGTTGCGCAGCCTATGGCTGCCTGTGTTTTTGGCCTTGTGACATTCACCGGATTCAGCCTGCAGGCCTAAGTGCAGGGTCTATAGACACAGCTGCTTTAGAAATCTATGATTTAAGGGAGCGTAAACGCTTGGTTCAACAACCATTTGCTTTGCAATTAAACCTGTGCAAGCTGTAGCCTGCACATTGGACACAGTATGGGCTCTAATAATAGCAAAAGCAGTTCAGTCATTTGTTGACAGTGAAGCAAATCCATGTTTACCCTGGCCTCTTGAGGGTCTATAAAGGTTATCCGCTTATCTTCGCATGTCAGGCATCGAAGGGACCTTTCATGGTCGCTTCATAAAGCCATAAAAATGCTAGGTCACCGCTGAAACAAGAAAAGTTTTCTCATGCGCTCCGTCAGACCCATGTCCGTCAGAAAATGTCAAAATCCGCCCTGGTGGCCCACTGTACGCTTTGAGCTTGTGACCTCCATTTCGGCACAGTGAATGGGCTTTTTCCTACATGATGCTATAGCACCGACTATCACGAGCCTAGTCGAGCCGTTTTTAGGTTGTGGCGCCCATTAATGCATTTCGCTTCCTATACCTAAGTTACGGAGTGAATGTTTCGACTTCTTTTACACGCTCTTGACCTTTGACCTTTGACCCCCAGCTTGACATCCGAACTCGTTTTGACGCTCCGCCGCCGATGTGGGCCGAAATATCGTGACCTGTACGTCGAGCGGTTAAGATTTGTGCGCACTGTTGGACGCACGGACCGCACGGACGGACGGACGCAACGGACGGACGGACGATCAAGGGGATTCTAAAAGCTGTCATCTGACTATTCAGATGAGGCTAAAACAGCTAACAAATGCAAACGAAATGCTGAGATTTTGAGAGGCGCTTCAGACTGATGTGAGGCGGTAACCTTATTTAGGGCTTATGCCTAAATCTGCGCCCGCAAACACCAGGGCTGTAGCCTGGGGGCAAGGGCAGCTGCGCTTAGATTTTTAGCAAAAAAAACAGTTCTGACCTAAAGAGAATTGTCCGTAGTCATGAATGAAGGCTGTACATGTATTCAAAGTGACTGCAATACGGCATGCTCCTGCTGCCCAGACGCCGCGCACCTGTTTCTCCCTCATTGAAAATTGGATCTGCGGGCATTGCCCCGCTAGGTATTCGCTCAGCTGACGGCCTGGAACACGACGCAACACAAACACACCGAAGTACGGCATGTATTAGCGTACCAACACTACACGTACACGTGTATAGTGTCTAAGCGTTGTCCGTGGAGCATTTCTCTGCGTGCAAACCTAGCAGCTTAGTGAACAACGGTTTCCCTCTAACGACTTCTCGGCTCCTACATGCCTTTAGTGAAGCCAAGTTTCCCCT